ATAGGAGGTCCGTTTTCATTATTGGATATTTTCCTTCATTTATTTTTAGTATTCTAAAATGACAGAAGTAAAAAAAGTGAGTGTTACTAGTTTTGATAACCCTTTGTTACAAATCAGTCTCGTAAAATTTGATGAAATTAATTTTCTTGCTTGGTCGAAATCTTATTTATTGTTCATCAAATCTACAGGATTGTAGGGTTACATTACTGGTGAGGCGAAAAAAACTAGATGTTGGTAGTTTAAAATATAATAGATGAGACTCTGAGAGTTCATTAGTAATGTCATGATTCATAAATTCCATGCAATCCCATATTGACAGAATATATCTATTGCTTAATACTGCTGAAAAATATGGAATGCAGCATCTTTTACATATTCACAGATGAGTAATGACACTCAGATTTATGAACTCCGGAATAAAGTTTATAGCATAAAGTAAGAAGAGATGATTATTTTTCAATATTTTTCTGAAATGAATGGATTATGACAGAAGTTATATTACTATCAAAATTTTTAAGTAGAGTGTCCTACAGATGCAGTCAAATTTCAGAAATTATTAGAAAAAAGTGAATTTATTATTTTTTAGCTGTCTGAACACCGATGATCAAATACGGGTTCAAGTGTTTGATAAGGACTCATTTCTTTCATTAGAATAAACTTATGTTTATGTTCAGTAAGAAGAGAGTAGAAGAAATGTCATACTTTATATTGCACCAGTTGAGAAGACTGGATTAATGGCTAAGTCTGATCTATCCAGAGATATATGGAAGTGTGACTATTGTGGCAAGCCAAGACACAATAGGAAAACTTGTTGGAAGTTGTATGGAAGACCAATTAGAGGTCGGGGAGGAAGAAGAGGTGGAACCATAAGAGCTCAAGTAAATTTTGTTAAAGTTAGGGAAATACCTGGTTTACCATCCGTTGGAGTCTTTTCCACAGAAGAAATTCAAAATCTGAAACGACTTCTTAGTTAACTTAACTCTTCATCAACTGTTGGCACATCAAATGTGGTAAAATTAGGTATTACTCATCCTATTTCCACTCATGATAATTGGATTATAGATTATGAAGCTAACAGACACATGACAGACTTTTCTAAAGAATTCTTAATCTATTTTTCTTGTACTGAAGGGGATAATGTTCGTATAGCAGATGAGTTATACACTCTCGTGTCGGGAACAAGTTCCATTAATTATACTCCTACTATTACACTTTCTTCAGTTTTACACGTGTCTAATTTTTCTGACAATTTTTTATTTATTAGTGCCATAATTAGATATCTCAAGTGTAAAATTGAATTTTTTCTTATCATTGCATCTTTTAGGATCTTCAAACCGGGAAGATGATTGACACTAGTAGACTGCAAGATGACTTATATGTCTTGGATAGACATCTGAACTTAATTGGAAATCAAGCAACCATTGGGAATAAAGAAATCAATATGAAGATACTATAATGGCACCGACGATTGGAACATCCTTTCTTTTTTGTTTTAGAAAAATTATATTTTAATTATTTTAAAAAAATTTTTATGGAGTGTTTGTTTTGTGATGCATGCGAACTTACTAAATATAAGAGGAGCTCTTATCAATAATATAAGTATTGATCCTTTTATGACTATTCACTCTGATGTGTGGAGACCTACTCAGAATATCTCACTTTCTGGTCATAGATAGTTTGTTACTTTTATTGACTGTTGTACTATATTAACATAGATTTATCTGTTAAAAGAAAAAAGTGATATATTGTTATATTTTCAATCTTTTCACAAAATGATATGTACACAGTTTGGTGTTAAAGTTAAGATTCTGCGAATAGATAATGGTATAAAATATATGAATAGTGGGTTCCGTGCCTATATGGAGTCAAATGGAATAATTCATCAGACAAGTTGTGCCTACACCAGTGAACAAAATGAGATTTCTGAAAGAAAAAATAGATGCATACTGGAAGTAGCTCGGTTACTAATGTTCACCATGAATTTACCAAAGAGTTCCTGGGAAGATGCAGTTCTCTCAGTTGTCTATCTTATTAATAGAATATCTTTGCGGGTGCTGAATTTTAAAAGTCCTATGGAGGTTTTGCAATGATAAAATTCTTACATTATTCGCCCAAAAGTGTTTGAATGTGTGTGCTTTATTCATGTTAGAAATGTGGGTAAATTAGAACCTAGAACTCTTAAGTGTGTATTTGTTGGATATTCTTTTATCCAAAAAGGTTATAAGGGTTATCATTCACCATATAGAAAATATTTTATAACTATGGATGTTACATTTAGGGAGAATGAGTTTTATTTCAACTCAAACCCAACACCTCTTCAGGGAGAGAATGAGAAGGAAAAAATGATACGTAATTGGGTAACAATTAAGAGTCATATCCAGGGGGAGAATTCTATTGCAGAAAGTCTTAATCAAGAAGATAATGTTGAACATTTATATAAATTAGATTTGAAAAGGTATTCAAGGAGAGAGAAGTCTAAAGAAGACATCATGCAGTATGTCTCAGGTTAAGAGGTCAAGAATCTTTTCTGGTTCCAGAAGATACTGGTGAGTTATTGAAGTTTTTAGATAAAATAAACTTTCTAATTTTTTTAGTCCTTGTTTTGTTTACATTTAGAAGATATATATAGATTAGTTATCCTTATTCTATTTGAATTCTAATTATAGGATATAATTATACTATTAAAACTCTAAATAATATAGTATTCTACTTGACATAAAATCCTTATCAATACTCCCCCTGAAGTTGGTGCAAAGATATCACACATGCTCAACTTGCAAATCAGGTTCTGAAGAGATTTGTTGTATCTTCTTTTAGTGAAAATGTCAGCCACTTGGTCGCCAGAAGATACATGATATAAGCATAGAGAGCCACCAACCACCTTCTTTTTATGAAGTGTTAATCAATCTCAATGTGTTTTGTCCTGTCATGTTGAACTGAATTATGAGCAATGTTAATTGCTGCTTTATTGTCACAAAACATGGATAGTTTCTCATTTTTAAGCAGTTTTAACTCCCTCATTAGTTTTTGCAACCATAGTACTTCACATACTTCTTGGGCTATTGGTCTATATTCTGCCTCAGCACTGGAGCAAGTAACCACACTTTTTTTCTTACTTTTCAATTTGATTAAGTTGCCTCCTACAAGTGTGCAGTAATCTGTAGTTGATATTCTATCATTTAGGGAATCAGCCCAATCAGCATTTGTAAATGCTTTTATTTTAAGATGATCATGCTTAGAAAAGAACAGACATTTTCCTGGTGCAGACTTCAGGTATCGTAATATGCGGAAGACAGCATGTAAATGAGTCTCACAAGGATCATGCATGTACTAGCTCACAAAACTAACTGCATATACTATATCGGGTCTGGTATGTGAGAGATAAATGAGTTTTCCAACTAGTCTCTAGTATCTTCCCAAGTCAACTGATGTACCACTACCTGCTTGCAATTTGTGGTTGCTCTCAATAGGTGATTCTGCCGGCTAGCAACCCATCATACCAGTCTCTTATAGTAAGTTTAGGATATACTTCCTTTGAGAAATGAGTATTGCAATATTTTTAAATTTTTTATTTCAAATTCTTGAGTAAGAAGTTCCTTCAACCGAGCCATCTCCTTTATACCATCTCCAGTCACCACAATATCATCCACATAAACAATGAGAAAAGTAACTTTACCCTCACGATGTTTAATAAATAAGGTATGATCCGCATTGTTTTGTTGATATCCAAAAGAAATCATAACTGTTCTAAA